CATTAAAAGATTATTATTGTCATAAACATATGTCATTGCTGCTGTTGTTTTTATTGTTCTTGTTGTTGTTGGTTGTTGCCAAAGTTTACTTAGTGGTTTGATAGCTCTGTGCGATAGCATTGCAAGTGTTGCTATAAGTCCTGCAGCAAAATATGCAACTTAATAATGTGTATTACGAATATAAAACGAAGAAATAATACATAATACAACAAAGGCAATAATAAGAGATGATTTGCAAAAAATGGTAGAAAGATATCAAAAACTATTATGGCCAACTATTGTGAAGAGGAACAATGGATCAGGTTCTAAGTGTTATGCACTTTCACATATGAATTGCAAAATAAAAATAAGAAATTCAGCTAAGTAGCCATAATTCCATATACAAATAAATGGATGATATGATCCTTGGAAACAATGAAACAAGTCGCTATTAGTGTATTAAATCGCAAACAGAAATAGGGAAAATGCAGAATGTTTTTAATACACCCTTTTAGATACATAGATAAAAAACATCCATGAGAAATCAAGGAAAGGAAAAAATCTCTCCTCAATTATAAGCGAGTTATTTTAATTTTTTTTTTAATCCAAGGGGTTTTTATATTAAACCAATAAGGAAAGTAGTAAAGTCGGACGGGCCGACTTTATGATACCCTTCACCACTTTAGGTGTATTCAACGGGACCATTAACATGAAATTGGATGAACTAAAATATTTGATATAAATCAATTTAAAGCAAATCTGAATCGGACATCTCTTGCACCATTTACATTAAATCGGACGAAACTATATATATGGGAGCTATATCTAAATCTCAACCGACTTTTCCCAATTTCAATAGGGTTTGTCCTTGGGCCAAATAAGTAACCTATGCCAAATTTCATCCAATTCGGATCATAAATGCGAACTGTACTTTGTTTACAATTTAACGTGGACAGACAGACGGACGGACGGACATGCATAAGTCGACTTAAAAAGTGATTCTATGCATATTCTCAAAAGGAACCATGTGTCTATCTCGTTTCCTTTTGCCTGTTAAAACATATGCACAAAAACATAATACTCTGTACCACAGTGTGGTGAAGGGTTGTTGTTTTCTATATAAAAAATCGCGATACCCGTAATCCCACTTATGTGAGGCCTTAGTTTCCAAACATAGGAGTTCCCACTGATGCATAATCTCTATAGAAATCGAATTGGAGACTTCACTTCTCACAGAGGTATGCTTTGCCACAGAAAAACATCCAGTTGTCACACATACCTGCATTTTTGTTCAAGAACAAATATCGGAGACTTCAATCCTAGTAGGATTTTTTGTTAAAAATGTACCTCAGTTGTAGACGGGTATTTTTTCCAAGAAAAAATTGCACTTATTTTCTTTACAAAAATGTAAGCCTTGCTTAACCGAAAGATTTTCTTGACTTACATTTTTTATTACAAAATCTTTGACGGCAACTAATACATTGAATGAGTATTTTTTTAGAAAATATCATATTCCCTAGTCGGAATATTTAAGAACTGCTAATTTATTTTGAATAAAAAAATCAATGACTTCGTTCATTTTTTTCTTATTGAAAAAATAACATCCTCCATTTATTACTTCCCAAAAAAAAAAAAAATAATTGTCACTAGAACCACTGACACACCAAGGAAAGCCCACATTTATCCAAGAACACATATCCCCACATTGCATGACATTACCGTTAGGCATATGGTATGGCATGAAATTCAATGCTACTTTATGTGAAGACCACCTCCTTTCAACTGCTATTCCGCATAGCAAACACATACACACCAAACATCCAGACACACACACTCACTCACACTCCCATTCACATATCTGGCAAAAGTCGTTTTGTCATCGCCATTGCTTGCAAACATCAACGCTGTCAATAAATATAATTTGCATAGAAACTACGGGTATTAGAAAACATTTCAACTTAACATTAGTAACTGTCAATTTCCTTTGAATTGAAGACAGACACAATAGCACACACACGCAAAACCAGCTTAACAAAATAACTATTTGTTTGTACAAAAAGGAACAACGGCGAATCCTCCATGCAAATTCTAGCAGCAATTTATGGCCCATGAAAATAAAGTTCTCAAAATGTTATTCCGCATGGGAAGCAACACCGAACAAATAAAGCGTTAAAAAATGAACTGCACTTTAAATTGGGCGTTTGAATAGAGTGGAAAATGAAATGTAGAGAAAGAACAACAAATCTGAAAAAGGCATGCCACACATAAGAATTATTTTTCTTTTATTGCAACATGTCGCGCCACGCGTCGCCGATTTTTTTTTTTACTATTCTTCTTCATATAAGGAAAGCAAATTATTAATGATCTTAACAAATTGACAAAGTTTGTAGTGGCGACATACCAGGAAAATTTTCCATGGAAAAGGTGGGCAGGAGTGTGGAATTTCAAAAGGCGACCATTAAATACCTTACATAGGTATCCCTAGAGACACCCCAATTTAAAGAAGTCTTTTTTAAGGCCTGATTTTTTCATCGGGAAAGTACTTAAGGAAACCCCTTTCTATAGAAAAAAGACCTCCACGGAGGTCTTAGATTTTTTTCTATAGAAAATTTAGATACATTTTTTCTAAAAAATGACCTCAACTGAGGTCTCAGATTTTTTTCTATATAGCAAAAAATGACCTCAACTGAGGTCTCCGATTTTTTTCTATATAGAAAAAAAATGACCTCAACTGAGGTCTCCGATTTTTTTCTATATAGAAAAAAATGACCTCAACTGAGGTCTCAGATTTTTTTCTATATAGAAAAAAATGTCCTCAACTGAGGTCTCATATTTTTTTCTATATAGAAAAAAAATGACCTCAACTGAGATCTCAGATTTTTTTCTATATAGAAAAAAATGACCTCAACTGAGGTCTCAGATTTTTTTCTATATAGAAAAAAATGACCTCAACTGAGGTCTCAGATTTTTTTCTATATAGAAAAAAATGACCTCAACTGAGGTCTCAGATTTTTTTCTATATAGAAAAAAATGACCTCAACTGAGGTCTCAGATTTTTTTCTATATAGAAAAAAATGACCTCAACTGAGGTCTCAGATTTTTTTCTATATAGAAAAAAATGACCTCAACTGAGGTCTCAGATTTTTTTCTATATAGAAAAAAATGACCTCAACTGAGGTCTCAGATTTTTTTCTATATAGAAAAAAATGACCTCAACTGAGGTCTCAGATTTTTTTCTATATAGAAAAAAATGACCTCAACTGAGGTCTCAGATTTTTTTCTATATAGAAAAAAATGACCTCAACTGAGGTCTCAGATTTTTTTCTATATAGAAAAAAATGACCTCAACTGAGGTCTCAGATTTTTTTCTATATAGAAAAAAATGACCTCAACTGAGGTCTCAGATTTTTTTCTATATAGAAAAAAATGACCTCAACTGAGGTCTCAGATTTTTTTCTATATAGAAAAAAATGACCTCAACTGAAGTCCAAGATTTTGTTTCTGAAAAAATGCCTGATCTGAGGCCTTGTGATTTTTGTTCTTAGAAAAAATAGAAAAAATAATTCAAATTGTATACCCCACAGTTCATTGGAAAATTGTCAACCTTTGTATTTACCTTGTAAAACCTGGGAGCGCCATCCATTTCTTTTGACATATCTTGGCCTCCTCACTCAATGGAAAACTAATTGGAGAAATTTAGAAAATAATTTATTACCAAACAGAAAAACGGCATGACACAGTCAGTTATGTTGGCATTTTTTAGTTCACCAGCAACAGCAGCAGTACTACGTGTGGCATAGGTACCACAAAAAATTCACTTCACATATTCAGACAATTATCAATGGCTGACACTGTAATGCCAATTGACAGTCATGCCGTCTAAGTGTTGTGCTGTTGTCTGCCCTGTTTAGGCGTATGATTTGTATGATTTTGTTGTTGGCGAAAAAAAGGCGGCCGTAGATAATCATCAACGGCGGTAGGCAAATTTTCAAGCAACATTTGTTCAATGGTCCAATGCAGGCACGCTTAAACATTTGCGTATGGTGGGTTTTTTTTTTTGGCAAAATAAAACTACTCTATTGAGATAAATGTCAAAACTATAAAGAGATAATATATTTCTATACAAAGTAGAGTTTATGTGACATTTTCATTGCATTGTCATTTCAGCAAAAAAAATACCAAAAAATTTTGATATGAAAAAAAGGACAGCTGCAGGAGAATAGACATTTTGTATGGACGGAATTTTTCAAGAGAAAATTTGATCTTATTGAAAAATCTCCTACAAAGAAAACCCCGCTCCATGATATTTATTAAATATTGCCTACAAATTTTCCTTAAATATATTTGCCCCTATTTTTTTGCTTTTCTTTTCCATGGCCTGAAATTTCCCCCCACCCTTCGACGTATTGAAAATCAATTCCACTTGCTCTGCTCTTACTTAGCAATGTCATCGATCAAAGCCAAAATCCTCACAACGAGCCTCAGTTGTTCGAACCAACTAACAAAAAAAAAAAAATATTTAATTTGTAATTGGATTTAAGAGCAATCAGCAGCAAATATTTGAAAGATAAATCTATACATGTATACACTTATACATACGTATGTATATATGTATGTGTACATATGCACCTCACCGAAATTGTGTGTGGCGCCATTCACCCATTTGTCATTATTTATCATTTCTAATTTCCGTTAATTGAAAATTATCCGCACCCTAGACACTGACAAACCAACAGCAACAACAACAACGAAGACAACATAAAAGACTGAATACAGGAACCAGTCACATTTGTTGACAACAAAAACAAAAAATCAACCATTTAAAAACTTTTTTCACAAATTGTCATCCCCGTCACACACGTACATCGCACAAATGAATGCTAGTTTTTCCGCTGCCCCTGCCGCTTCTTCTCATTCCTGTGCTGTGGTTGGCGAATCTTGTATGAAAAATTAGCAATGCCACAACCTACAATCAATCAATCTTCCTCAGTTGGCATCAGTGTATCATCGTCGTCATCAACATGGAGAGTCATCAGCATTGTGCTCATCATCAGCAGCATCATAGTCGCAGTCGTCGCCGTCGTCGTTTAGAAGGTAAACGTAACATGAACTGATGTACCGTTCCATGGCAATGTTCTGCTCACTCACATATGTCACAAGGTCTTCACGCCATATATGTGGCAGACAAACAATATTGTGTTTTTGTTTTCGTTTTTATGCACAGTGAGTTAGAATTGAAAGAAAAATTGCTAAAAAGGAAAAAAATCGAGGTATAACCGAACTTGTAGGAAGTGATAGGCGTGCATTTTCATATCCTTCAGCACACTGTGGTACAGGGTATTCTGTCTTTGTGCATATGTTTGTAACAGGCAAAAGGAAAAGAGATAGACACATGGTTCCTTTTGAGAATATGCATAGAATCACGTTTTAAGTCGATTTATTTTGCTCAGTGTACTGAATTAAGAGTAGAATGATGTGTGTTAATTTCGTGAAAATCGGTTCAGATTTCTATATAGCATCCATATATATTTTCGATTTGCACGAAATGTAGCATATCGTAATGAATTAAGTCTAGAACAATGTGTGTTAAATTTCGTGAAAATCGGTTCTGATTTAGATATAGCTCCCATATATATCTCCGATTTTATTTGCACGAAATTTGATGCACACAAAATTTTGCTCAGTGTACTGAATTAAGAGTAGAATGATGTGTGTTAATTTCGTGAAAATCGGTTCAGATTTCTATATAGCATCCATATATATTTTCGTTCGATTTTATGTAAATGGTGCCCCAAAGTCCCTATATATCTTTCGATTTGCACGAAATTTGGCATAGCGTACTGAATTGAGCATAGATTGATGTGTGTTAAGTTTCGTGAAAATCGGTTCAGTTTCAAATATAGCTCCCATATATATTTTTGTCCGATTCAATAGAAATGGGGCACCAAAATCCCTATATATCGATTTGCACAAAATGTTGCACAGCGTACTGAATTGAGCATAGAATGATGTGTGGTGAGTTTCGGGAAAATCGGTTCAGAATTCGATATAGCTCCCATAAATATTTTCGTCCGATTTTATGTAAATGGTGCCCCAAAGTCCCTATATATCCTTCTATTAGCACAAAATGTGCATAGCATACTGAATTGAGCATAGAATGATGTTGGGTGAGTTTCGTGAAAATCTGTTCAGATTTCGATATAGCTTCCACATATATTTTCGTCCGATTTTATGTAAACGGTGCCCCAAAATCCCTATATATCTTTCAATTTCCCCGAAAATTGGCACAGTGTACTCAATTAAGTCTGGAATGACGTGTGCCGAATTTTGTGAAAATCGGTTCAGATTTCGATATAGCTTCCATGTATAGTTTCGTCCGATTTTATGTAAATGGTGCACCAATGTCCCCATATATCTTTCGATTGGCATGAAATTTCGTGAAAATAAGTTCAGTTTCAAATATAGCTGCCATATATATTTTCGTCCGATTTAATAGAAATGGTGCACCAAAATCCCAATATATCTTTCGATTAGCACAAAATTTGGCGTATCGTACTAAATTGAGTCTAGAAGGACGTGTGTCACGTTTCGTGAAAATCGATTCAGGTTTAGATATAGCTCCCATATATAGTTTCGTCCGATTTTATGTAAATGGTGTATCAAACGAATTAAAACTTGCCCGAATGAGATGAAATTTCATGTCAATGTTCTTTCGAAAAGGCGGAGTCTGTTAGGAGACATATGTAGAATATACCCAAAGTGGTTAAGGGTATTATATAGTCGACTTTACTACATTCCTGTCTTGCAGCAAATGAGCGATATGACAAACACTTCGCTGCATTGTGTACGGTATTAAAATTTGTCATCCTATTGGACTACTCCCACTTTTTTTAATATTCAATTTTTTCTACAATTGTATCAATATTTCATTCGAGCAATACAAATTATATATTTCAACACCCGCTTAGGCATATCAATTGGTGGTAAATTACACTGTGCTCTGTTGATGTTGTTTCCCCGTCAACATTTATGGATATATGCTGTCATTTTATTTACTTCACAACAACAACAACAACAACAAATGAGCAACAAAACCATCATCCTCAGTTTCTTTTGCCACATGCCATCAACGCGCAATGCAATACAATCGAAAGAGCGAAAAAACAAACATGTTTAGCATGAAAAGTGCAAATTTGTAAACAAATTGCTTTAAATCTTTTTTAGAATCATGCATTCAATTAAACAGAGCAGACAGCTACAAAACCGACATCACTACTTTTTTTCTTTGCGAATATATGCAAGTTGTTGGCTGTTGCAGCTCCTACAAATAACCATGAGTGAACAGAAATGTTGTTATTTGCCACAAAATTGTAAAGTTTGTATTTTTTTTGCGCCCGGAAAACTCATCATCCAAGGAGTTAACAATAAATAAATAAAAAATAAACAGAAAATAAAAACGAAGAAGATGCCACAGAGATAATATGAAAGTAAATTAAAAAAGTCTACAAACTTGATATAACACCAGCCAACCCAACCATTCAGATATTTATCTATGAAAGCCAGCATGCAGCCAGCTCCGGGCCTAGAAGATTGCACTGCAGTTTATGTTTCGTCCCCTTCTTGCTGCTCTTCTTCTACTTCTGGCATCTCTTCTAGTTTTGGGTGCCCAGTGTTCGCATACAAGGGTGGTGATTGCAATTTTTACTGCTGCATCAGTTGGCACTTGGCTGGCTGGCTGTGTTTCTTTCATTGCAGCCACATTTTTGTTGTTGTCGCTGTAAATAAGAAAATAATAACAGCAAACTCAAAAGACATGCAACAGCAACTCTAACAACAATAACATCAACTGCATCAAAGCATATTTCCAGTCTTCCTGTGGGTGAAGATGTTTGTTGTCGCTGTCACTGGCGTTGTGTTTGCCACAATTGTTTGGCTGTTGCATTGCTTTCTTCTTTATTTTTCATTGCTGGTGTTTGGTATTTTGCTGTTGCTCCTTTTTATTTGTTGCTGTTGATTAAAACCGCACTTCGTCTTCTATTTTTTATTTGGTGTGCGGTATAAAGTTGGTTTATTTAATTTTCGGTTATTTTTCATTGCTATACACCATTATCAGGACAAACATCGTAATATGAATTTTTTTGAAATATTTATTTTACAAATCGGATATGGGCGTGGATTTTTAAAAATAATTCTTAAGGGTCGGACATCAGATTTTTAAAGATAGTCAGATTTAAAAAAAAAAAATATTTATAAAGGATCTGACATAAACCTGGAATATTTTTTCAAGGACCGAATTTAGGGGTGGACATTTAAATATATGTTTGCAAAGATCGGATGTAGGCGTGGATTTTAATATATTTTTTTCAATAGCCAGTCGAAGGCAGGGATTTTTTGTTAAATATATTTTCAATACCCAGACTGAGGCGTGGATTTTAAAAAATATTTTTTAATAGCCAGAGGTGGATTTTTTAAAATATTTTTCCAAGGATCGTAAAAAGAGGTGGGCATTTAAAATAAGTTTGCAAAGATCGGATATAGGCGTGGATTTTTAAATTTGTTTTCAACAGCCAGTCTGAGGCATGGATTTTTTAAAATTGTTTTCAATAGCCAGGCTGAGCGTGGAATTTTAAGAAATAATTTTTTTTCAAAGATCTGTCTTAGGTGTGGATTTTTAGAAACAGTTTTTTCAAAGATCTGACTTAGGTGTGGATTTTTAGAAACATTTTTTTCAACGATCGGACACAAGCATGTTTTGTTAAATATTATTTTCAAGGATCGGATTTAAAAAAATGGATTGTTATACCCTTCACCACACTGTGGTCTACACTGATGTGTGTTAAATTTCAAACACAAATTGTTTTTCAGATTTATCTTTAAGGATTGCTCCCATATATAGCGCCATTTAATATAAATGGTCCCTATATATCTTTCAATTTGCACGAAATTTGGCACAGGCAAATGATTTAGATCTACATTGATGTGGGTTAAAATTTGGTTCAGATATAGATATACTTTCCCATATATAGTTTTGTCCGATTGTTTTGTTAACAAAGTACAGGTCGCATTTATTATCCGATTTGGATGAAATTTGACACAGTTCACTTATTTGACCCAAGGACGAAATTGGAGTAAATCGGTTTAGATTTAGATATAGTTCCCATATATAGTTTCGTTCAATTTTATATGAATGATGCACCAAACTCCCAATATTTGTCCGATTGACAAAACGTACTGAAATTTATATAAATTAATCTGGTGCCTGCGAAGTTTTGTTAAAATCGGCTCGTATTTAGATATAGCTACGTCCGATTGTTTGTAAATGATGCACCAAACTTCCAATATTTGTCCGATTGAGCAAAATTTTGCATAGAGAATGCAATTGATGAAAAATTGATGTGTGATAAGGTTTGTTGAAATCGGTTCAGATTTTAATATAGGTCTTATTTATATTTTCATTCGATTTTATGTAATTGATGCACCGAAGGGCCAATACAATACACAAATGGTGTATGCAACGGTTGCTTGATTAGATTAGATAGATTGCACATTTCATTTCGCCCCATTCCATCTCATTGGTCCTACAAAGATTCTATGTCTGTTCTATCTATAGGATATTGTAGATATTAACATTTCTTGTATGTACCCAAAATGGTGAAGGGTGTCATATAGTCGGCGCCGTCCGACTTTTGAACTTGGATTTTTAAATCATTTATAAAGGACAAAAAGGGATGGATTTTTTTAAATATATTTTTTAAGGAACAAAAGGCAGATTTTTAAAAACATTTTATTCAAGGAACAATGAAAGGCCGCCGAAAGTTTTAAAATATTTTTTGATAATAATTTTTTATCAATAAAGGCTGCAGAGGTTTTTAAAATATTATTTCAAGACCAATACAAGGCGTGGATTTTTAAAATATTTTATTCAAGGACTAACAAAATATTTAAAATAGTCGTTATTTTTTTAAATATTTTTTCATTGACCAGTCAGAGGGGATTTTTAAAATTTTTTTTTTCTAAGACCCTCTAGTTTTTTACTTTGCTTTTTATTTATTTTAAAAACGTTCAAATTATTTTAAAACTTCACTTAAATGTTG